TCCCCTTTCTCCCCTCCCATTCGGTGAGACATTCCTCAAGGGAATACACTTAGGATGTTGGCTATGCATCTTGATTTTTGCCCCCCAGTTAGAACCACTAACAAATAGAAGTATTATTATTTTATTGTTTGGGGTTTTTTACGATTAAGGTAAAGCCTGGTTACGGAGAGGTACTGGAAGCAGGTACTTGCTACAGTTCATTTGAGAAGTCAGTATCTCTTAAAAGGCTCTACTGCTGTGAGCGTAACGTGGAAGCCACAGCGTTCTCCAATTCTGTGATTCTGCTGATAACAGCCATGGTGTGGCCAAGCAGTAATTGTGTCGTCTTTGTTTCTTCAGTTCAGACTTCACTAGCTTCATAAAAGACGTGCAGAGAAGAAATGGGAATACATTGTCAGGTTTGAGCTTAGACGAAGTTCTAAGCAGAGTGACAGAACTCATTCTGGACCAGCAAAATAAGGTACTGTGCTGTGTGCAGCTGCTGCCTCTTCTACTGTGCATCCTCTGTCAGAGGAGACGGTGCAGCACAGCCCAGAAGAGAACGCAAACTTCCCTTTGCTGTCCAGCTCTGAACTACAAACTTGCTCCACGTTCTTTTTCCAATACCTGTCTAGGCACCGACTGCAACAGGGAGACCTGTGAAGTCAGCACAGACCGGGACTCGGAGCTGGGAAATACCTGCAGAAGAAAACGTGCCCGGCCCACCCAAGGCGAGACCTGCACATAAAACAGCCTCAAGTAAAAATCCGTCTCAGCCACACCTCCAGCCCTGGGGAAATGTTGGAGCAACACCTAAATCCAAATGGAAAAAACTAGACTATACAGTAAGTTCTCTGCTGTTTCAATGGGTGTGAAGTGATGGCCATGTACTTCTTTGGACATGAAATAATCAAAGTGTTGCTGGAAAAAATAATTGACTTGTTCATTTTGTGTACAAAAGCTTAAATATACTTGGTTAAAATCAGTAACGTCATTAACTTATTAGAATTTGCTGATTAATTGTTGCTAGCTTTGAAATAACTTCACATTTTCTGTGCAGGCCTCCAGTGATGATCCTTGCACAATCTGTCACGATGAGCTAAGCAGAGACTTGTGTGAACTAGAATGTGGGCATCGTTTCCACAGAGAAGTAAGGATTTTTGTTCTTATCATGTAGATGCAAATGTTTACATGCTCTGTTCAGTTACACTGTTGTTCCACTTTCTAAAAGCAACCCTCACCCTTCAGAGCCGAAAGAAGAACGCACAATTTCTGTTACATACTTTGTACAACCAAGACTTGCTATATATCTGGTCTTACTGTGTCAGAAAGTTTCCAGTTTTAGATTTATTTTAAGTAAAATGGTAATTCATCAAAGCAAATTTAAGCTTATTCCTCAGAGAATAAATCTGGTAGTCAAGTCACAGAGTTGTCGCAGCACACTTAGAGCGGGCTGTCGCCTGACAGCAGTTGCACGTCTAACTTCCTGTAGGCAGAAGGTCAGCATTATGGCAGAATAACTTGATATTCCTGGCCGTGACTTTTCCCCTTACCTGATTTGTTTACTGCTGATTTGTTAGTTGCAGAATAGGCACAAATGTAAACTGATCAGCACAGCGTCAGAGCTGGAGAACAGTTTTCTAAGTGCTAACTTCAGTAACACAGAACATGTTGGAAAAGTGCTTTCCTCTTAGCGACAACTACTTAAGCTGAGCGATTTACACCAGGCTTTGTTTCCTCCACATCTCCCTGTTCTTGCAGTGCATTAGAACATGGCTCAAGCAACACTCAAGTACCTGCCCTATCTGCCGCGTCCATACTCTGCTACCTGAAGACTTCCCTGAGCTTCCTGCGTGGAACAAACACGCCTAAACCTTGTTTTATTTGAACATATTATGATAAGATGCCAAGTGGCTGCAGAGTAACCCCCACGGTAAGGAAGAGAAACACGATGCCTAGAAAGAGACAGAACCCTGGTTTTACTGAGAACAGTAGCAGAACTCGGACTGACTCGGAATTTAACTCCTAGCACCAAGCCGCCAGCCGCTAGCACTGCCACGGCCCCTGCAGAACGAGGCGAGCGTGCTCTGCCATCCAGCGCTGTTCCCGGTTGCTGCCTGAACGTGTGAAGCCGACGTCGTTCAGAGGCCAGCAGCACACAACTGGTCCAGTTTTTTGGCTAAGGGATATTGGAACTGTTGCAGCCACCCTTCTCAAAAGGGTGGGGCGTAATTCCTGTGAAGAGGGGTGCGAGCTCTGAAGGAAAGCCCACACTGAAAATAAATTCTAGTATCGAACAAGTAGGTGACCTGAATGACAGACTAGCAGAATTTGGAGCAGCCAAGATGTTACTTTCCTCTGGCATAAACAATTACAACTTAACTGCAGGATTCAAACTGGGCTGCTTGTGATCATTATCAATGCAGTTCACATAATTGCAGCTCCTTTCTCTGCATAAATCCATAGCTAGTAATTCAAATCGTTTAAATAATGACTTTTAGTAATATTCTGAAGCAAGAATTTTTAAGTGTTCATATGATCCTTTCTGTTTGTGTATCATTGAGTTGGAATACTGGGGCTCAGTTCTTCAATCTTGAAGTGTGGTTTGAATTTCCCTCATCGAAGAGCTGATTACAGGATTTTTATTTTTGATGGACCAACTGTGCATCTCTATTCTGTGCATGAATGTTCAGCAGCAGCGTGAGGTACAGAATACACCCAGGTGAAAGAATGGTTATCCTGCTGCTTTTAAAATTCTTCTCAAATAGCCAAAAGACCAGGACTAGGGAACGTACAGCTTAACCACTCTGAAACTAGAATCTGACTGTTGTTTGCATACAAGCAGTGTTAAAGTGATAGATGGGATTGTTGGCCAATTCTAGGGATCAGTTGTTCTTCCAAGTCAATATGTATCTTCTAGATGAAGTTTTAAACTATTCTGTGGTTAATCAGTGTAGTAATTGGCACTTGGATCAAAAATAAAGTTACTACTGCAGCCGAAGTGGGTTTCCTGTGGAATATTTTTGCTAAGCCCAAGTTACTGGTGAAGGAATCTACCGTATGCTGGAGAGCTAAGGCACCTTGCTGCCTGAAGCAGTGGGTACTGCGCTGCTCCGCCTTGCAGCACTTGCATCGGTACCAGCTTCCATTACTTTCTTGGGGCGGGGGACATAGATGTGTCATCGCCTGAGCTCTTCACAACAGCAGCCCAAGTCCCTGGTGCTGGGGATGCTGTTGCAGAGCAGAGGTCTCCTTCTCCTGCTTAGCCGCGGCAAAGCAGTCCCAGACAGAGGAGCATTGGCCAGGGAGAACAGAGTGTGCCTTGGGGCGGCTGTGGGAGCAGTGCAGGGTCTGGGCGCTGAACTGGCACTTAGACACTTGCTTGTTATCAGCCAGTCTTGGGTTTCCTGTACCCAGAGAGGACCCTGAGTTCCCCAATCAGCAGGCTGGGGTTTGGTCTGTGTTCCTCTTCTCTGCCCTGACTCCTCCCACAAGCTGGACAGATTATAGCGATTTCTGGAGGGAGTTCATTCACACCTTTAAACAGGACGCCTTAGGGCCGACATTTCTGGCTGGGGGGGCAGGCTTCAGCTGATCTGCTCTGGGGGCTGGGGCAGAAGGACACCAGTCCATCTTTCCAAGGAAGTGTTGATGGTGGGAGGTGACAGTGCCTCTGTGAACAGCAGGTGGCACTCTTATAACATCATGTAAACTAAAAAAAGCGGCTTTCATTTTCTGAAAGTCATCCTGTACAGTTTCCTGATCTTTGAGAAGTTCTAGCAAGTAGCTCCCCCCGCCCCCCCAACTGTTATAAGACATTGAAGTAAGAATTTTGGATGTTTATTCCTAAAATACAGATTATACAGAACCAGGACCAAACCTAGAATTACACTTTCCTGCTTGATAATTGTGCTGGATAAAGCTAAAGAAAATTATTTTTAGCAGTTTTCTTAATTCTGTCTTTTCAGATTGTCATCTTTACACTTTATATACTTAGCCTGCCACCACCCCACATAACAGTGTATGGAAAATTCACAATTAGAATGAAATTGTGGCTGTTAAAACATCAACATCTACAACCTGTTGTT